ACTCTTTGTATAGAGTCTTTGTTTTGTATTTCAATTTTGAGACTGACAGAGCTACTTTAAACACCCAAAAGAGGAGTGAGATGGCTGCTACTCAAACACTGGGGACCACACTGAGTTTTTTTATGGTATTAATAGAACTAAGAACTTTGCTTTTGTTGAGGAAAGCATTTAGAAATCCATTAAGTTCACTTTAAATTGAATTATGTCACAAATGTTTTACAATAATCAAATAATTTGAAAATTATTTCCTTATATCAAATGGTAGGGAAACACAGTAGAGAAATGTGCCATTTATGATAGAGGACAGAGCATAAGTCAAATATAATATTAGTTAAAAATTTGCTTTAGTCTTATATACTTAGCTAATACTAATTTGTTTAGTTTACTAAGTCTCAAGTTCTCTTCTGTAAAACTCCCTTAGTATCAGTGCAGACTAAGATATATTAAAACCAGGTTCTGAACAAATAGTATTCTCATACCTAGTGATATAACCGTATTTATATTCTTTTAGAAAGATTTTTATGATTGGAAATACTAGGTGAGAGGGAATGAGCAGTTTGAAGCCTCCAGCTATGCATAGCTGTCTCACTTGCCTTCCTGAAATATTATGCTAATTTGTACACACAACAAAGTATATGAGAGTGCCCATTTGGAAATATTTGCCATACTAATAGATTTAAAAAATGAATGTTACTCTTTTCAAAGCTTTCTTTAATAATTGAAAAACTCACATATTTATTGATCATCCATATTTTATCATTTGTGTCTGATTATCTTATAATCTGTACATTTTTTATTGGTTGTTCCTTGTTTTCTCACTGATTTATAAGAGCTCTTTTTTCTGCTAATAATTTGCCACTTTTTTATTCCTGGTTTTGACTTACAGACATTTAATATTTTTTCTGTCATTAAAGTTTTTCCAACTTCCATTTTTTTGTGTGTGTTCAGAATATTTTCTATACTCTATTATTTCCATTATTTTCTTCTTATACTTTCATTATGTAATTTTTTATTTCTTTTGTAAATTTTGAAATTAATTTTGTTACACCATAGGAGATGGGAACTTTGTGAGTTATTGCACATTGACTCATAGTGTGATATAATGGAAAGACTTGGGATTTAGAACACCTGGTTATTCTTGGGACTGTTAAAACTTGTAACCTAATACACTCATTTTGTTTCTAAAATTCTGTTGTAAACATACATAGCTGTATGTTGGCCATCCTCCAGAATGGTCCCAAGCATTCTTACCTTCTGGTGTTTGCACCTTGTGTGGTCCTTCCCACATTGAATCAGAGATGGTCTGTGACAGAATATGGTAGAAATAATGGTACAGGACCTCAAAGACTTGGTCATAAAAGACGTTTCAGCTTTTGCTCTTGTCTCTTGGATTATATACTCACAAGTCACTAAGGTGAAGACTGAAGAAGCCCTATAAAAAACGTAAATGGAGAGGAACTGAGGCCTCTTCTCAGCTCTCAGCACCAGCTTGTTAGCTATGCATATGAGTCATTATTTAAGGGGATTTTCTAGCGCCTCCCAAATTTCTATCCCATAGGAACTGAGCAGTAATAAACGGTTATCGTTATTTTAAGTGACTAAACTTTAGGATAATTTGTGGCTTTTTTTAATCTTTATTTTTGAGAGAGAAAGAGAGAGAGTATGCATGCTGGGAGGGGCACAGACAGGGAGATAAAATCCTAAGCGGGCTCCAGGCTCTGAGCTGTCAGCAGAGAGCCCAACGTGGGTCTCGAACCCATGAACTGTGAGATCATGACCTGAGCCAAAGTTGGATGCTTAACCGACTGAGCCACCCAGGCACCTCAGGATAATTTGTTTCTTAGCAATAGATAATACAGTGTGCAAGCAATTTTTTTAATGTTTTATTTATTTTCTTGAGAGAGAGAGGCAGAGTACGAGTGGTAGAGGGGCAGAGAGAGATGGAGACACAGAATCTGAGGCAGGTTCCAGGCTCTGAGCTGTCAGCACAGAGCCTGACACAGGGCTTGAACTCAAGAACCACGAAATCATGACCTGAGCCGAAATCAGACACTTAACTGAGCCACCCAGCTGCCCGGCAATTTTTTAAATGGCTTCAATTTGACTCTTGAGTTAAATCTAAATATGTGAAACACCTTTAAAAAACAAGATTTTTGAAGATCTTTATTTTCTGTAGAGATAGAGTGTACTTTTTCAACAAACCTATGATGGATAAATTATATAGTCATATTATCTAGCTTCTCAGAGACTCCGATTGTTCTGTTGCCCTATTAAAACTAAGAAAGAATGTCTAGGATGGAAGAAAAATCAGATTCTGCCTTCTAAGTTTCCTGAGGACAGTCCTATCATAATAATTTAAACATTTATTAAGTACCTACCTTTTTTCAGATACTGAGGATACATGACTAAATTAGATGTACACAATTTCGGGTCTTTTGGAGACTGCAGTTTTAGGTTGGGGAGGTCAGTCCCACCCCTCACCCGCACCCCCCAAAAAAATTCTGGTGATAAGTCTGTTAAAAGAAATAAGTGGAATAAGTAGGTAGGTTTACTTTAGGCTGGTCAAGGTTTATCCTGCTTTCTCAGTATAATATCTGGCACACATTAGGCATTTACATGTTGAATAAATGAATATGTCTGAGTTGGTTTGTTTATATGTTAACATAATACTCTCATTCCCCCTGCCAACATACATATATGTACATGTAGATGGAAATATTATTATTCCCAGTTTTATGACTCAGATGTTATATCCCAATTTTCCATGTTCAGAATTGTGAAAGACTAGATGCTGTAAACAGCTTCCTGCTGCATAGTTATGTCCCTGATAGAACAAATTTTTGTGGCATTAATGATCTTTGCAAAGAGGCAAAGTGATCTTTAAGGCCTCCCTTCTTCCAAATAAAGAAAGAAAAAGCAAAATCTTACAAATTGGAGTTAGATGATGCTGATAGCAGTTTTCAAGGTACTAAGCTTTTGGCTCACAGCAAGATAGGGGAGCTGTGGTTGGATTCCTGTAGTCTAGACTCTTTGGGGTGCCCTCAAATCACTACCAGCATTAGAAACAGACCTGACTGTACTAACGCCCAAAGACTACCCTTGGTCTAGTATCAGAGAATGAACTCACCATCAAAAATTATAAATTATAAGAAGCCATCATAAGCAGAGGTTGATAAATGTGTTCTGTAAATGGCCAGATAGTAAATATTCAAGCTTTGCAGTCTCTATTGTGTACCTATTCAGTTCTTCCATTGTAGTGGGAAAGCAGCTATAGAAGATCTATAAATGAATGAGCATGACCGTTGAAATAAAACAATTTACAAAAACAGGTAACAGGCCAGATTTGGCCTGCAACCAGTTTGCTAACCCCTGCAGTGGAAGGTGGAGTAGAGGAGGTATTTTAAGAGATAATGGCTGTTTGAATACTGATGAAAAATAAATTCTTAGGTCCATAATCTCCCTAGTAAGATGATAAAGAGAAAGTCATGTTTTCATCAAGTGAAATGCATGACACCAAAGTCAAAAAAAGCAGCTGTAGAGAAAAACAGATCATTTGAATGGAAATTATGAATTAGAATTATAGAATTAACAGTAATAGAAGATAGTAGAAAAATATCTTCAAAGAGTTGAGAGATTATCATCAATATAAAATAGTATGCTCAACAAATCTTTTGAAGATGAGAATCCAGGCATTTACAGATTAAAAAATGAGAGCATTTACCATCAAGAGACCTACATTAAGGGGATTTTGAGAGGTTATTTTTAAGAATCTACTCAAGCTAATGTTAGGAACAAGAGCTAAATCTCCACATTGCAGTTTCAATGGAGAGTAATGACAAAAATGAAATAGAATGGTAGTCAGTATAGTTTTCTTCAGCTACAGATTGTTAGAATCTAGGTAAAGCTGAAATTCATGCTTTTGGAGGTTTTCCCCCCTATACTGTTGTTTTCCTCCTAGTCTCTAATTGTTTTAATTAATATTTTTGTGATGTGGGGTGAGGTTTGTAGTGGTATAATTCTATAAGATCTTTTATTATATAGTTCTTAAATTTTTTGCAAAGAATTTCTGTTGTGATTATAGTGGTCTCATATTTTTTTTGTCTTTTCTGTACTTGGATAATTGGTTATGCTTATGCTGGACATTTGATAAATGGGGAAAAAACACCCAAATTCATTAAATGTAGAAAAGACCAAAATCAAGGATATGATCTAAGAAGAAATATGTTCCATGGTTTCAAAAGCTGCAGAAAGCCAGTGACAATCAGACTGAAGAATTTGGATAGTAAAGGGATCACTAAAAACTTAATATACTTCTCTGGGATAGCTGTTGAAGCAAAATGACCTCAAGCTTAAATAAGAACTAGATATCCTAGTAACAGGAAGGAAATATTTGGTCTCCTATGAAAAAGAAAAAACTATTGTCATAGTACTTACTATTTATTGAGTACTCAACATGTGTCAAGCGTAGTGCTAAGAACTTTCTGTGTGATTTTTGCATTTGGGCCTTATGATAATCCCTTCTAGTTTGATGCCTTCATTATCTCCGTTTTGTAATGACAGGAACTGAGGCTGTATATAGTTTGACTACTTAAAGTACAGCAGTAAGTTCCAGAGCTGGAATTAGTAACCAGACCACCTGACTCCCATGCAGAAATTATGCCTTAACCACAAACGTTGTGGGCTGAAGAGCAAGTTTAGGTAGTTGTTGTGATTATTATCTGTGTTTATTTATATGTTCTCTGTGCTTTTTACTGTGCAAAGGAGCAATTAAAGATGATATTGAAAGCATGTGGTGAGGGGCAAAGAGTTTTTCAACTTGGTGTGATAGGGATTGAGTCTGGTGTAGTATAGAAAGATCTACTGATATAAGTGCAAACAGTTCTTTCCACTTGTAGCTGTGAAGTACTGAGCTAGAGTAATTCTTGATAGGTAGTTTTGATTTCTAGCACATAATTTTGTATGTGGCAAAAGCTTTTAAATTAGAATTTTTTTTTTCCTAGTGGAAAGAGTGAAAGAACAATTAAAACTTTCTTTGGAAAATAAGAACGGCATAGTGCAAACTGGTGAATTAACAGTTGTGCTGGATGGATTGGCGATTGAGCAAGAAAATCTAACAAACTGCAACTCATCTCCAACCAGTAAGCCAACTTTATGTGTTTTTAAAGTTTGAAGTGGGAAAAAAACCTGAAAGAAGTATACAAAAACCTGCTTTATTTCTTTCTTGTTTAGTAGAAATACAGCAAAATGGTGATGCCTTACATGAAAATGGAGACCCTTCAACAAGACCAACCTCCAGGTAGAATATTTTATTTTAGTATTTGTGGCAAGGTAATGTAACGTTTCCCATATATGAAGTTTTACATTTTAACCTTAGAGTTTGCCATAGAATTTAAAAGCTTGTATCTGTACATATCATTTGTTTAAATTCTTTTAAAAGTAGTTTTTAAAGAGATAAACTACATTGAGATATAATACACATACCAAAAGGATTACCTTCTATATATTTCAGTAGATTTGGGTATAACAGTCACGACTATCTAATTTCAGAAATTCTCATCACTCTCAAAAAGGGACTGGGGGCACCTCGGTGTCTCAGTCAGTTAAGTGTCCCAACTGTTGATTTTGGCTCAGGTCATGATCTCACGGTTGGTGGGATAGAGACTGCCTTGGGTTCTGCACTGACAGCTCAGGGCCTGCTTGGGATTCTCTTGTCTTCTCTCTCTGCCCCTCCCCTGCTTGTGTGCACATACTTGCTCTCTCTCGCTCTCTTTCAGAATGAATAAACATTTAAAAAAGTGGGGGGGGGGGCGCCTGGGTGGCTCAGTCGGTTGAGCGTCTGACTTCGACTCAGGTCACGATCTCGCGGTCCGTGAGTTTGAGCCCCGCGTCGGGCCCTGGGCTGATGGCTCAGAGCCTGGAGCCTGCTTCCGATCTTGTGTCTCCCTCTCTCTCTGCCCCTCCCCCGTTCATGCTCTGTCTCTCTCTGTCTCAAAAATAAA